AGGGGTTTGAGGGGTTGCACTTTCCATGCCAAACGCTCCCTCTGAATCCCTAGAAAAAAACTGTTTTTTCATTTCTTGTGCAAATTCTGCTCCCTCGAAATCTCCCTACTAAAAAAAAACTTTTCTTTCATTTCTTGTGCAAAGTCTGGCTCCGAACACCTGACCCCGCCACGGCTCTGACCCCTAAGTGACGGTACTCCCTTGCGCGCTCCCCCTTCTTCGACCGGGGTCGGCGGATTTCACATGCAAACTGGACCGTGATATGACTGCTGCAGTCAAGTGTCTTCTCAAAGTCTTTTGTCGCTTCTGATTACCCTGCTGTTGCCATGTCGGTGGTCAATGCAGTGAACCGGGCACAGAAGAAGGCTCGTGGGGCGTCTACGTTGTCTGGAGGGATGACGCCGCCAATGATGCCGCAGATGTTTGGCGGTCCCATGATGCCGCAAATGTATGGTGGCGGTCAGCAGATGTTCCTGGTTTTACTGTATGCACGAGTGCTTGCATTGCCTAGAGCGCAAAACATGTGTTTCTCACAGCGCTGCAGTGAAGCTCTTGGAGACAGCAGACAGGCCTTTAGACACCATTAGAAACATTTAGAAATAGAAACAACTCAACGACCACGCCAGACTAAGTGAATCAACTTTACTGTTATTGCTCTACCTGCTTCCCTGAGTTGCATTGGGCTTCTTCTGGCCCAAGGGCCTTCACCGGCTTTGTCACTTGAATTATGTAAAACTTAGCAACTTCTGTCGTCCAAGGTTCGTCCTGTGCGCGGTGGATGACATCATCGTCAGTTGTGTTCAGCTGTTGGAACAACTTCTCCCCAAGAAACACAATTTGATTGACAATGTTGTGCTTGAGGCGTTTTCCCCCAAAATAAGTCTATTCTTCAAAAAGTGCAAAAAATGAGCGAATATATGTTTAAACATGTGAAGATATGATTAAACATGTGGAACATTGATAAAACATGTGAAAAACATGCGAAAACATAAAAACAAAAAACAATGTGACATTTCTGCTGATACATGCGACCCTGCTCTGATCTAATCCTACTCTGATCTAGGTAGTCAAATTTTTCTCGTGAAAGGTATACCTATAACTGGCACCCAGAGTATATTCACATATACTTAAGACATCCTCAGAAGGTTGGATGTAAGCTTGACTCTCCAAACTCTCAGCATCTAAGCACCTCCTCAGATGAGGCGCGGGTCGGTTCCCAAAAACACGTCTCGGGTCGCTAGGGGGGAAAAAACCTCTGCAGGGAGCCGAGGTACCGGAGGCGTTCGCAAAAAGGGAGTGCCCCAACTGTTTCGCTCGGCCGCCTCCTTGAGTTTCATCGTTGTTGGTTCAATCCACCGAGCATAGCGTCCTTGGCCGTTACGTGCGTAGCTGCTTGTTACTATGTATATGTTCCTGGCCTCCAATCTACTTGCGATGGCCTCCACCGAGCATAGCGTCCTTGTTGTGTAACGTCGACCTTGAAACGGCAGGGATTTCCTCCAACGAAGTCTATCAATTCTGAATACCTCACCCAGCAGACTTTTTCCGCCCACAACTCATACAGTCTTCCGAGAAGCCGCAGCGACACCCCACACTCCGCCCACAGCAACACCCTCCTCCGCAGTACCGAAGTCATTGACCCCTGCAATGGCAGGCATCCACACGAAGGTGGCGCAGGTCGTGGCCGTGTCTTGGGATAAACAAGGGAAGTTCTTTCGTTTGAATCCGGCGTTCTTTTGGACTCACACAAATTGCTGAAGAAGTCTAGATGTTGATAATGAAGATGTTCATAGTTACATAGTTATTCCAGTTTGGAAAGCTGGAACTGTGTATATAGGCCTGCTTTATCAAATTATAGATTCAATGGTCAAAACGCCTTGAGTCAGCCTGAGTCATCACTCTCCCAAGTGGTTAAGCCTGTGTGACAGCTCTGAGCTTCAAAAAGAGACATCTTAATATTGACTGTTGATTAAAAGACACATATAGGATCATACTATTACCATACTACTATGTGTTTCGATGTTTTTTGAGATGAGAAAAACTCCTTCCATTCTAAACCACCTCCAGTCTGTACCACCATTTGACTTTGGTGAGTGTGGAGGATGTAAGACCCGTCTGAAAAAAAAAAACAACTGAAACAGACATAGTAAAACATATACCCTTTTTAGCATCGATCCCCTTCTTGATAGTTCGTGTTAATGAACCAACCGAAGGAAACCCCGGTGCCATCTCCGGTCCTGCTCCTCGTCGCTCCGAGGTCTCCTTGGGCTGCCCATTGGACCTGATCCGCGTGGCCGACACCAACACCGAGGCCACCGATGGCATCAATGGACCTTTGGTATAGGTTTCTCGTAGGAAAGTGGCCTTAGTCCAATGCCCAATATGTTTGAATATATTGAGAGACACGACTGAGTCGAGAGAGCGAGTGAAGTTCAACCACTCGTGGATGTTAGTCGAGATGTCCTGCCATTGGTCTGCCGATTTTCACCACCCCAGGTCGTGCCCAATGCGCGCTTCACCGGCGGTTCCATCACCACGGAGGTGGTGTGCGAAGCAGCGCGCCAGGTGGCCATGCCGTGGGTTTTGGCACGGAGGTGGAAGCTGCGTGAGACCGGTTTTCTTGGGTTTCAAAAACAGTGCTATTTTTTCCACAGTTGTCTGGCTCCTAACTTGTTTCCATGAAGAGCTGGTATACTAGAGTCCTTTGGAGGTCCTATATGGATTTGTTAGTATCATTCCTCCTGAAGGGCCTGTTTGTAAACCGTTCAATTGCCCAGTGGTGGGTTGAAGTCCTTTTCTTTTTCACAACGGATGGACACTCCGGACGAGCAACCGAGCGGTGGGAACCTGACGACCGGAACACATGTGCGGCAGGTGGCTGGTGGCTCAAATGGGGCAAGTTACCCGCACATTTACCAGAACTTCGCCAGTTGACCTGCGCAGAAGGGAACTGGAGTGGCACCAGGTGGCACAGTCCCCATTTTTTGCCTGCAGCTATGTATAATATTAACATTTAATTTAGTAATATTATATACCAGGAGTCACAAAAGGATGGTTTTTCGTCCCTAATTGAGTGGATAATGAGCACCCCTATCCTCCAAGATCAGCACCCCTTTGTGACTCCTGGTGTATAGTGTTTGCCATTACCATCCGAGATGCTGCCAGATGATGGGGTGGTTTGCACCATGGGTGCTTGCTTTCACCGCTCCTCCCATCTCCCAGCTCTTGGTATCGCTCATCCGGTTGGCTTCCCACCGAACTCGGGCGGAATCGGGCTGTGTTTTTTGAGCGCCAGGCCTGTAAACAACTTCTGGAAACCTTGCGCCCTCACCGAGAGTTCTTGGTGAAGCGCGACAGCAAGGACTGGGGCTGGAGCGGAGCCCGTTTCGTTTCTTTTGGCACCAAACCGGTGAGGGAGAGGTAGATCTAGTGAGAAGAGAAACAACATCTAGTGACAGACAAGGACTTGACGTGGCCAGGAGCCCAGTTGGCCAGAGCTGGTCGCCGCAGCCAACGCGGTTCTGGGGCATCAGGAGAAGTTATCAGCCACAGGTGCCATGAAGAACAGCGTTCGAACGCCGTGAGGAGGGTGTGCGGGGTTCGGTGCGGATGTAGGTGATTTTTCCACGTGGGAACCCGGACAGCTATCGGTTAAGCCGTTAGAATGTCGATCATTGATCCAGCCCTGCAACGTTTGTACTCGTGGCACAGCAATACATATTATATATAGCCACTCAAAAGAATTCATATAACAGAACTGCTTGCGCTGTGCGCCAGCTGTTATTTTTGCATGTTTGCTTGCTTCTTTGGACCAAAGAAATCAGCGCCAGTGAATACATGTGACGGTCGTTCTGGATAGACAGTGAATGCCTGTCCTTACCTTCAGAGCGTTGTTTGTTCCTGTTTGTAGCACGTGCCTGCAGTCTAGAGGTGAACAGTCTAGAGTCTAGACGTTATGCCGGGACGCACCTACCAGCACTGGGACGCACTGGGAACTCACGACAAGTGGGAACATGTGGGGATGGGTCAACTATGGTCAACTCCTCGTCCACCCGGGATGGTCAACCTTCGAGCGGCTTCATGGCTACGACCTTCGAGCGGATGTCCGGGTCGGTCGCCGGCCCCATGTGCCCGGTCAGACCCAGAAGCCTTGGCACCTGGAAAAACCTGGAAAAAACCGTGGACCTTCCCCTTTCCGAAGCCCTGATCGCCGGAGGCATCTTCTCGCCAGCTGGGAACAAGTGGCTTGGAGACGAGAATGGAGGGGTGTGGTTTGTGGTCAGTGGTGGGGGGCACGGAAGGCATGGAAGTGGTGATTTTGTCGTGACATGTCGTGACCTAGTTCGACATACTTGACATTGAGTAGTGTAGTTAGTGTGTGATTTTCAACTGCCAGCTCCATGCAAATAGAATCCACACGCCACACACACATGTAATTACCATCACAAGCAATTCTTTTGTCAATACCCATGGTCTTATGCCCTTCAAGCTCGTTATTGCTTTGATGGAGTCAATGGAGTCAATGGTTTCTTCCAAAAAAGCACTTCGCGTATCACTAAAATTGCTGCGAAGACACTTGCGGAAAAAGTCAGGAAACTTGTTTCTTGGCTTCTCGGACACTTTTCCATGGTTTCTTTGATTTCACGAGTCCACTCGTTCAAGTACCCTCCCAAACATGGTTTCGTGGAGTTGACCCCCCCCTACGTCAGGCTTGTCCGCCAGGACGTCCCACGGTCCACGGTCCGACTGGATGCCAAACGGTCCAGGTACACGACGGATGTGGAGGGCAACGCGCTGGGAACCTACCACGGTGACTACTTCACCTACGGTGCTGGTCGCTTGGCTCGGTGGAATGCCGGGTGAATGGGCTTTTGTGGGTGCGGTGGAGATGACGGGCAAAGAAAAGAGATGTTGGAGACCAATCATTTTGGTGGATACGGCTTCTTTGACATATTTGGGAGACCAATGCTTCTCTTTTGTGCCGTCTGACTGCCTCCCGCAAAGAATCATCAACAGAAGCGTGACTGCAGGACAAGACTGCAGGACTGGCTCCAAGAACTTCCTCAGAATCTGATGGAGACATTGGAGCCCTATGGGTTGTTGTTCAAAATGATATCGTCCAGGACCTTCATGGACCTTCAAAGTGACCTTTTGAGATTCCAGAATGAGGTCACTTAGTCCCTGAAGAGGTCACGAACGGCTCAGGTTCTGGATGTTAAATTTGTTGTTGTCCATGTTGTTTTCAACATGGAACATCATGGAACCATCACGGAACCACCATGAACCACGGCTTTGCCCCAGGCGATGCCAGGTTTGGACATCTGACTTTCTTGGCTTGAGTTGCTTTGGATTCGCCCAACAACCTGCAGATAGTATCGTATAATGAAACATAGAGTACTACATAGAGTATAGTACAATAATGTATAATCCGGTCCACCTATTAAAAAACACGAGGCCCCCCCCCCTAATAAGGAAACCTCGGTCGCATTTTTTCTAATAGGGGGTCCCTGAAATCGGGGGGTCCAAAATAGGTCACCTGGGAAGAGCTTCAAAACCAAAAAGTAAATCAGTATAATTTTATATAAAATCCTTTATTAAACTCGTATCACAAATTAAAAAAAGCTCCAGATCGAAGGGTCTTCCTTTTCCGCTACAAACACCTTCATTAGAATAGTGATTCTTCAGCTAAAGCTTTCGAAAGGTGATGTCGCTGTGACCTCGGTGGCAAGTGCGTTTGCGTGAGTCCGTGCCATTGGGGGAAGGAAAGCCTGCTGGTGTAAGCGCGGCGTGTCATGGTGGATAGACAGGGCGGACAGAGGTGGGCAGTTACGGTTGTTTTTGGGACCTTAAAAAACTCTTCCAAAGTCGGCAATGTTTGTAGTTTAGTAGCGGCTTGAAAGGGCGGTAATTTAAAAACAAATCTAAACCGTATTTAGGGGTTTCGGACATGACTTTTTTCTAATAGGGGTCCGTTTTTTAATAGGTACCCGGGATTAATACAATAATAATGAACATATATAATATACTGTAATATATACCCTTAGTAGGTCACGTCCTTAGGAATCTTAGGACTCATGAGTATATTTTTTCTATCATAGCTATCTCTATTTACTCTCTAGTATACATGGGACTGTGACAAGTGACAGGGGCCAAAAAACTGAACAGTGGCTCCTGGCATCGCTACTAGGAGCAAAGGACGCTACTATGGGCCCCAAAAAGCTGAACATCAATTCCTTCTTCCCCCAAAGCAGGGAGCTCTCTCCTCACAGGTGCCCTGTAGACTCAGTAGAGACCGCAGACTCGCTCACTGGATCTTCTCCGGAACTCCGAGGCATTTCAGAGGTTGAGTTGGATGTGCTCACAGGAGAGATCAGGCCATTCCTTTCCTTTCGCTCGATCTAGTAGAATCTTGAATCCAACCCCATTCACCGTGCTTTTGGACTGACTGGGAAGCAGCTTCAAGAAACCGATCCCATTATAGATTGGGTTGAAAGAAAGAGACACTGGACACCCTGACCCCGAGACTTGTCCACCATAAGCAAGAATTGCAAAGCGCAGAGTGCGCAAAACCCTATTCGACTGGTGTCCAAACCGTTTGAACCAGATTCCCAACGCATTTTTCGCAAGAGATCGCTGACAGTATCGCTGACAATTCATCCACACTCTTCCAGGCATGTCAGCTGGTCACAGACACATGTCCGCTGGAAGACCCGGGCCGTGGCCGTGGCCGGAAGGCCCTTGCGCTCGGACATCCTCTACGACGTGGGGCAATCGATCAATCCGGGTATTGAGATTGGACAGCTGGAGGGAGCCTTCGTGTATGGTCCCCTTGGCCACAAGAGTTGGTGGAGTCGGCTGAGTCGGGCTGAGTGGGCGGCTTAAGGAGGTGTGTTGTTTGTTCAAGCCTTCCACTTCCGACAAACACGTGGAAGTGGATTTATAGCACCCCCCGGCCCAGTTCGTAAAGGAAAGTAGTCTAAGTAGTCTTCCAAGGGGACATGCCATCCACTTCTGGTGAGTCAGAGTGTAATTGAAGAGGGAGAGACTCCCCAGCGGCTGTTTATGGTATGGGTCCCTCGAGGGCGTCGCGCGATGGTCGGATCTTCGGCAGGGGTTGAACTGGGGGCAGGTCGGATCTATCTCTGTTCCAATGCACACCCACTAAAACATCTAAAACATTGCTTTCACATCTCCTAGCTCAGATGAATGCATACACAGTGCGGAGAGAGCTACAGGTTGAGGGCGGTAGATGGTCGAATGCTTGTCATCTCAAAAGAAAGTACTGTACTTGAAACATGGATGCATTATGATGCATTAATCTATGTTCAGGATGTCTTCAGATAGAGTGCTTAGGGCCTAGGGCATTTCAGATAGCCACCCGGTTTTTTTTGCCACACACAAGGACCAGTGGATGAATTTGGTGCCAAGTCGTTGCCAAATCTGCCGAGGGCACCAGGAAAGGTGGGATTAGGTTTCAGGTGGGTGATCCAACTACAGTGTCCTGTTTGCCAAAGATAACGACCGCGGTGTCGTGTTTGCCCAAGAACTTTGATGACTTTCACGCTGTTCGAGGTCTGTGACCGCCAGCTACGCTTGCCTCCAACCTAAAAGCAATGGCCTCCAACCTAAAAGCAATGGCCTCCAACCTAAAAGCAATGGCCTCCGACCTAAAAGCAATGGCCTCCAACCTAAAAGCAATGGCCTCCGACCTGGAAGCGATGACCTCCAACCTACTAGCGATAAAGAATAGCAATCCGAGCAACCCAAGTTACAGGGCGAACCCCGAAGCTGATGACAAATCCAGCCAAGCTGCTCCCCTCCACCAGGACCTGAAGAGCCAGTTGGACATTTGGGACCCTTCCTTCAGCCGCAAACTCTGCTAAAACCCATCGCTTCACCACTTTATGCCTTCCAGCTGGACCTTCCTGATTTGCTACCTTACACATCGGCCAGATTCCAAAAATCAAGCCTTCGCCCATTCCTTCATTCCTTCAGCAAGCATTGGATTCATCCGTCACTGCTTCCGCTTCTTGAGGCATTGGCTATTATTTGTATGAGGAGCCCTTGAGGGACGCGCGCGGTGTGGAGCGCTCCCAAGGGGTGTGGGCTTACAAGCCGCCGATGGCACCAGAGGTGCCGATTGAGCCGCGCGGACGGAGATGAAGCCATGGAGAGATGGGGAGAGGAGATGAAGAGATGATGCCTGGAGGGAACGTTCAAATGTGGGAGACCTCCGTGAAGTGTGCCGGTCCAGGAACATGGATGAGTTACGTGAAAACAGACGAACTTGGCACATGGCACATGGTCCTTGGAAGATGGGAGAGTTGGATGTGCCAAGTTGGAAGACTTGGCAGACTGGACCTAGCAGGCTGGAACTCAAATCAAACCAGACATGAGTGTGTATATTTTAATATGGAGATCCTGACATCAGGAGGTCCCCCTATTACAAACCCACATGGATGAATATTGTAGTTCCACTTGGGGAATAGAGCTTCATGTGATGGATTGATCCGAGATTAGGGGACACTGTTGGTAACAATCGGGAATCACCGTGTGAGTGAGGTGAACATGATCTATTTGTATAAGTTCCTTGTTTCTTTATCATGGAAGATTGGGATTCAGTCGATGTCTTCTTATGCTTCAATATACCTTTCTAAGGAGAACTGGGTAGTAGATGAGAATGGTAGTCTGGAGGGGGGAACATCTCAAGTCAGTGTGGTAAATCTGTGGGGCAGTGTACAAGACAGTTTGGGACTTCGTGCCACTCCGTGTTGGGGAAGATCGGGGATGAAGATGAATTGAAAGGCATCACGATCATCACAATAAGAACAGCCTCCATCTTGTGCAGCTATCGACAGCTGTGTCATGCTGTGTCTCCTTGACCCCTCCCAACTCCAGCCGCTTCTACCCATGCGGACGGACCGCTCAGGACGCACGCGCAAACCGAATTTCTCTCCGGGCGAAAGCTCAGGTTCAAAGTGGAGTTGCTGCGAGACAACCCCTTCCCCAAGGGCGTCTTGGGGTCCAAGGCCATCGGAGACCTGGTTTGGCTAAGGTTGGGTACCTTTTGACTGACTAACATGGAAGTGGAAAATGATCCCTTGGAAGACTACTTTCCTCAACCAACAAGGGGTTTTCCACTTCCATGTTAGTGAGTCAGGGTGTACATTTTATGATTTTCCTGCATTGGTTACCTCCGCTGGGTATGATAGAGTATGATGGAGTACGTGTTATTTTGTTGCCGGCTCATGGACAGCAAATCTGAGGAGAACCACCTTTCATGTTCCCTGGCTCCGGATATGGGACGGTCCCGGCGATGGTGAGATTGGGCAAGCGGGGCGAGGCCAAGTTCGGGGCGTGGATGTCCACGGTGCGATTGTTGAGGGGTCGGAGGCTGGAGGAGAAAGGTCTGTACGTGATCAGTCCGGACTACATAGCCAAAGTAAGCAGGAAGCTGGGAACGTTGAAACCCAGAAGTCTGTTTTCACAGTGTGAAGCTTGTATTCCAATCTTCGATGTCTGCAGATGCATTCCAACCTCCACGCAGTTCTTCGCCACTGGCCATTCCACCCAGCCCGTGGTGGCCAAGATGATGTTTCGTGAAGGAGCCCGGACTGCCCAGGTTAGCATACAGTGTCCTGGGCGCAGCGAAGAAGGTGGGCGACCGTGGACGCGCGTGAGTGAGTTTAGCAGATCGAGTCAAGCCGCAGGCATCGGCGTGGGGGTGCAGAAGTGGAAGTTCGTTTCAAGAAAATTCCACCATGTTCCACCCAATGGACGTCGATGTAGACAGTTGATTCATGTTGATTCAGAAGACTCATGATACCCCATTTGGATCCATTTGGATTCTACAACACCTCTTCAGATATGGGGGGATCATTTTTGGTTTTGAACCTCGAATAGGAAGGCTTTTGATGTCACTCTGTAACCACCACAAATCTCTACAAGGGGGTGCTTGGACCCAGTCCTCACGAGGGTGCAAACGGACCCCGAAGTGCTTAAGAAGGACTCCGACTTCTGGTGTTTGGATCCTGAATGAGAGTAGCCTCCGGACTTTGCACTGGACAGTCCCTACTGTAGGACTCCTGGCCCATATCCTCAGACCCCGCTGGCACCCACCCCAAGCACCGAACCGAAATGGAGGTAGGGGCTAGGATCCCTAGGGCCTACAAAGAGTGGAATCATGCAAAAATGATGGGAAGATAATGGAAGATATCAAGCACCAGAGATGAATCGTACCAAAGCTCGTACATATGAGAATGGCTGAAAAAGAAGATCCATACCCTGCGGTTTTGGTCTATGTTTGCTATACAAGGGGTATGGGAATGGCACCCAATTGGTCGAGCCACAGCCACAAACGCTATATATATATATATATAGGTGGTGAATGTTATTGTTGAGTGGAAACTGCTATTTGTTGCTGCTGTTTTCTTGCACCTCACCTCTACACCTGTACAAATCGGCCCTTTGGCCCTCTCTTTTCGACGTGACGAAAACGTGTCCCGCTGTCTCGGTACGTGGTCAGGCCATTGCGTCGGTGCGGAAGGAGAATGGTCTGCCAGAGCATTTCCAGATGCCCATGCCCTGCACGGTGGATGCCATCCAGAAGGCCTGTCTCTTAGGGTCGGCTCCGGTCGCGTCGGGTTGGGTGGAGGCGAAAGCGAGGAGCGGAGCGGTTGATGATGCGAGGTGGAGGGCCTTGGGTTTGGAGTTGAGGTTGGGGGGAGTGTTTTTGGTTGGAAGGCGAGAGAGAAGTTGTAAAGCGGACGGCCAGATGTCCTGGGACACATCGCAACAATCACAGGTCACACAGGACGTGACCGGTGCGTAGGTGCGGCTGGCCGACCGGCAGAATCGATTGGGGTCCATGGTGAATCATTGCGGAGTCAATGTCCATCTAAGTTGATGTTGAGGCCAGCCGAAGTTCTAAGGACAATGGGATCCCATTTGCCCTTCTTGAGAGACAATCCATTCTCTTCAGAGCTACAACTCCAACGAACGCATCACATGGAAATGGATGGCACCCGCTCTTTTGTGCAGGAAAATCGTCGTCATTTGAAGGGACCTTGCTATCCACTTCCAATGTTACATGAATCAGAGTAAGTTCAATCCCTCTTGGAGGAGCTGAAGGGGTTGTAGCTGAAGGGTTGGGCTCCAAAAGCTTTATAAGACAATTCCACCCCCGAACTGACCTGAATTATTGGTTTTTCCAGGTGTGATTTCCCTTTGGATTTCCCTTAAGGTGACAGAGACTTTGGGTTCAAAGACCTGATTGGCCTCGTGGCCCCGCTCTGCTCAAGGCCTGTGGAGTCGAAGCCAAGCACTTCCAGTGCTGAGGAGCCAGCCCGGCCGAAGCCGCGCCACGACCGAGACGTGGCGACGGCGACGTTTCGACATGTCGAAAGGAGACCAAGAGAGTTATCACGCAAAATCACAAAACTATATAAGAACATAAGACTATACTATAGGGTATGCCTGATATGCCCTTCATCTAAAGTGTTTATTTTGTTGTGAATCTATAGAGTGAGGTTTCATTTTTTGATTGACAAGAAGATTCGTTTTCTAGGGAAAGTAGGCAATCCACCAAACGAAACACCTTGTTGGTGATGACCCGTGATGACACATAATTTACAACTCTGCATAGCGGCACTATGCTGCATTGCTGGACACAGTGCGGCGTCCGAAGAGCTATGTCGGCGATGTGTCCTGTTCCTGTTACCACAATGTCCAACTGGTGTTCTCCCTATTCCTATACCCAGGAAAGTGGTAGATAACCTTCTACCTTTTTTTGCGGGGGATTGGTTTTTGCGCTAAGCAAGAACAGCTGGAGAAAAATGAATAAAACACTCTACAGTGTTCGGAAACGGCTCGGGGGTTCAGTCTTTCAAGGACACCGAGTCTTGGCCTCCGAGTCTGAACGCATCGCTTTGACCGAGTCGTCATCGCACTTCGGCATCGGAGCGATTCCGTTGGCGAAGATCGCGTGCTGCATCTGGCGAAGGCCCCTCTCTGCCGAGTGACTTCCACGATGCGGTGGCAGAATGACAAACTTGTGGGTATACGTTTAGGATATCAATGGATATATCATACTTATACTTTACATTCCTCTAGGCTATGCCGATTCCACAGAACATGCTGAACAGCTCCTCGTGTGCCTTTGTGTGTTTTTTGTTTCTTCTGGGGCTCTTGTTTCGCAACCCCCGGACAATGATGATCGCTTTGAATGTTAGATCTTTTGCACGGCAGCTGGCGCGGGCATTCAGTGTGACCTTGGGCCGTCTAGAATGGTGACTTTTTGGCAGGCCTACCTCCTGAGAAGGCTTGGGCTTGGTGCCAGGGGGGTCTAACTACCTTCTAAGAAAATGTATTTGGAGCCTTAGAGTATCTTAGAGTTGATTCAGCTTTGCTTGATGTGTGATCCAGAGCAGATGTGCTGAGATGGAAGTGGTTCTCGAAGTCACCCCCACAAAACAGACGGACGAAACTGACTGGCAGACTCAGCATTTACTCCCCAACGTGAGTAAACGATTTGGGGAAACTGGACCGTTTTACTGGCTGTTGGGGTAGGATGGTGAACATAGTCACTGGTCAACAGCCCCAAAATTCATGTCGTGAGGGATGACTTCTTGTTTGGTTATGATGTCTCTACACTTACAGGCAAAGCCGTTGGTTTTTGTTTTGTTTATTATGTAGGAACTATGAGGCATGATGTTTGGGTGCTAGGACATGATGTATGAGGCATGATGTTGGTTTTATTATTGACATTGCACAGCCACAAATGAAACATTGCTTGATTTAGGACTAGAGGCCCAGGTACATTTGCCTCGCACGACTCGTACCGCGCAACAGTGTCCGCCTATCGCGACCCCCTGGTTTTGAGGTGGGGGAAAATGCGCCGCGGCTCGAGTGTCGAAAGGCCTGCAGACTTCGGCATATGGCACTTGACAAGATCGAATCTGGGTGTTTGGAGTGAGTATATGGCATGTTTTGAATCTAGATATATTTCATGATCGAATAGTGAGTATGTGGAGTTTGTTTTGGAGTGAGTTTTGGAGTCTTCGGTCTTTCCGGAGGCGGTTCGCCGTGAGTTCGCCTTCTGTAGCCTTGGACGGTGCCGTCGCCTTGGGTTGAACTCCGAGGGGACCCTGCATAGACCCAGCTTTTGCACTGTAAGTGTCGGGCATTTTTTGGTTTGACTGATTTCTTCCATTCTTCCATTCACAAACAACCAGTTTTCTGATTAGCATTTGGGCCGAAGAATCAAGGCTCGGCGGTGACCATTCGCCCAGAAGGCAAACTGAAAACAACTACGCTGGTTGGTCGAGTCCAATAATCATTGTTGTTTTCACTCTTTCCTAGCCCAAAGGCTTTCAAACCTTTCTAAATTCAAGCAGCTTAGCCTGCCATGCTTGACCTTCAAGTAGAGGAGTTTAGACGCCTGATGACGCCTGGCATGCTTGCGACACTGATGCAGCTGATGTTTGATCTGGTAGCTCAAGTACGTAGTGCAGAGATGTGCAGAGTGCAGCATACCGCTTCAATCAGGTGTTGCGTAAAGCCCTAGCTGTGCCAGTAGAGGCTCCAAGTCTGGACTGTGCCATAGACAGCACCCGAAGCTATATCCATGGCTTGTGCAGCTTGCACACCTCAAGTCCTTAGATTATACATGATTTTACCTCATGGACAGACATCCCTCCCACTCGCTTACAACATCATACGGATCCTGCATGCAGTGCACGCAGCATTGCTCATCTAAGAGGTCTTTTCCGAGGTCTCAAGTCTGGATCAGATCTCAGCCTAGTCCTGGACACCTGGAAACATTTGGCTAGTAGCAGGTGCCACGCTAGTAGTAACAGGTGCCTTACTACTAGTAACAAGAAGCTAGTAGTAACAAATTAGTACTACTAATTTTAATTATCACCTTTCATCCATTTTTCGGGCGTTTTCTCCACCCTGTCGCCGGTCCCGTCGCCATGGCGGCGGTTCTACGTCGAGTGAGGTCGGTTTACGTCGCGGTTCGGTCAAACGCAAAACGAGCAGTTGATGGCACAAACGTGGTCACCAAACAGATGCGCCCAGGTGTTGTTTGGTGTGTTTATTTTGTTTTTTCTCATGCTGTACTGATGCATTTGGTCGAAAAGATGTGGACATATGTTCCAATTGTTGGCGCTCCGTTCAGCCACCCAACATCAACGAATCAAGAGATGAGGAAAACATAGAATCGAACAACAATGAACAACATATAAGTTGAAACAAATGCAAACACTGATCTTTACGTAAACTTACACTCCTGGAAACACAAACACAGACCTCTCCTCTCACAGCAGCTCTCACAGCTCTCCAGGGCTTTCCCAAGTTCTCCGCTAGCGGAGGCCTGTTCTCCAAGCGCCTTGGCGCGTAGCGGCCTGGCACCTGCCCCATTGTGGCAGGGAGACTCAGAACGCTGTTGGATTGGGAGAGACCTGGGGTACATGTAGAGACGACCCTCGGGTTGCTGCGCAGATGCTGGTTCGATCCATTTGCTGGGTGGACCTAAGACCACTCCTGTTCGAACTCCTCCTGCTAGTGCTTGTCTTTGCATTGATGTTCTTTCATAAGCTTGAACCATGTCTACGTCAAAGTCGGTGATGTTTGGACAACAAAATAATGAAAAAGAGTTGGTGGCACGCTAAAAAGGATCCCTATAGATCTCAGGGTATATATATAACTCTTGGGAGTTAAGGATTGTTGCAAGAGGATCGACCGTTCGACCTTGGCATATCGATCGTGTCAAACACGAAACGGTCTCATCCTTGCACCGTCGAATGGACCGTCGACGGATGGAGGGTCAAGGGTCAAGGGTCGCCGGTGATGTGGTGGAACTTTCAACCTGGAGAACACCAAAGGCAAGGGATTGTAAAGGAGCAGACCCATGAAGAAAAAGAGGCACAACAACATAATATAACATAATCCATGCATGGTCATGTTTGTTTGTTTTTTTGGGTTCGATTCCAGTTGTCTCCGGATGGTGAGAGTATATGTTTGGTGAGTTACGTCCAGCGATGCCTGGTCGAACTGCCGAACTGCCTGGGCCGACAGCAGGACATCCGAGCTGCTCGGATGGTCCTGGACCCTTGGGGATCAAGACTCATTTCTTCACCGCACCTGGGTATGGAAGAGGTCATGTCTTTTGGGAGGGTCAATTCTGTCGGGTAAAAAATGTGAGAGTATACCCAGAGTTAGCCTCAAAACAACCCACCCCCAATGTTGTATATTAAAATCATAGATATGACAAACTTGATGCTGACAAGGCATCTACACAAAGAGGAGGTTCTCTCACGTTCCCTCACGTGCCCTCAAGAGAGGAACCCAAAGTATTTAAATTTAAAGGTAGCTGTTTGAACCACCCATCGTGCCCATCTCTTCATTCTTTAAACAAAACTCCAGGCGCCACTTTACTGGGCTCGACGGGCGCTTCCTGGACTCTACACTCCCTGCAAACAAATCCTTGTTATGTGGATGGCATGGCTCCGATGTGGCTCCCTCCGATTTATCGGATCACCATGTTCCTCTTCATGACCAACGGTCGGAGTTCACCACCATGAATCCATCCCACATGATTTCGAACCTCATGACATCCCATGACCGCGACCTCTATGAGGGATTCGACCTCTAGGTTCAAGGAGTAGATGTGATCCACCTTGAGCGATCCAAGACGAACCGTCCGCACGTCTCGAAGCTCGGCACCGGGTCGAAGCTGCCGTCAGGCGCTCGTCAGGACACCGCGGGGCGACACCGCGGTGAGAGTTCGTCGGACGGTTGATTCAGGCGGATGCGGGTCGGTTGAAGGGG